TCAGCACCCCTTTTCTGTCCAGCCATCAGCTTTCTGGCAGGCAGAAACGTTTGTTTCAATTTTTTTGGCTTGTTTGGTGATTTTGTATGCATACACAGCTTTGACTGCTCCTTGGTTTCAACATTCACATATGAAACCCAGGTTTCATTACCTATTACTTGTATGATGTGGCTGAGAAATTCATTGCCAGCTTTGTGGTATCACTCTAAAAGAAGTCAAAGCCGAAGCCATTCTCTTCATTTTGTGCACACCACTGAGCATTTTCAGAACCCATTTTGCATAAAACTTAACAATAGTATAACCTGTGATACTTTTTTAAAGAGCAATGCATGAAATTTTGGGAAATTGACATGAAAGTTCTGAAATTGTTAAGTGCTGTATTTCACAAACACTTTGAACAAGATCATCACTCACTACAGATGGCTGACCATTGTGCTCTTCATCATGACCCATTGTTCGGCCTTCTTTGAACATTGTACACCATTGTCTTACAGTTCCTTCACTCACTACATTTTTGCCATAAACTGCGCATAATTCACAATGGATTTTCACAGCACTCATGTGAAGTTACACATTGTAACTCACTCTGTAGAGTCAAGAACAAACACTGGATGACCATTTATTTAATGTGTGATGCTACCTCACATGCCTCAGCTCTGCCCCGCTCCTACATTAGTTGCCTAAAATAAACAGAGGTTACTTTCCAAATAGCCATCACGGATATTGAAAACTCTAAATAAGATCTAGTGGGAGACTTTTCTAAGCATTCAGTTTCTACAAGGAACTCATAAAATTAATACTAGATCGTATGTATGAAATTAAATACAACATGCTCCGAATAAATAGGCAGTTTTCATAAAAGTTCTCTGTGATTTTGCATACCTCTTTGACCTCATTTTTAATCCATGCAAGTGTGTTATGATGTTAATCACACCACAGACATTGACTTAATTCAGAAACAAAATTTCATTGTATTTTGTTAAATAAGCATGGAAAGTGTTCAATATAAAAATTGTTGATGGCACTGAGAACTATGTTTTCACATGTAATTTATTTTGAGGAAGTTAATAAGGTTTGATTTGTTATTCAAGTAAAATGGTATTATGCTGAACCAGCAAGAATCACAACTACATACAGCTTTCAGTCTAGATGTTGAATACAAAATTTCATCTAAATCCACTCTGCTGTTTAACAGTTGAAATGTAGGTGCTTTGACATGCACATTCTTTTCATAATGCATACACTGGATGCATTTATGCAGAGAACCCATAAAAATGATAGGTGGCTGCTATAAAATCACATGTAATACAAATTTCCAACAGTTTCCCTCAGTTCTTGGGTAACATTTTATTTTGACTTCAGAATGATCATAGGAGGTTTACATTTATACGTATCATAAGAAAGGGAGGGTTTTGTGTGGAAATAAGTATACCTTATGTGTGACTGTCATGATTATGACTATGGATGTAATATTTCTGCCATCTTAAGTTTTGACATGTGGCATTTATGTCTGACAGATTGGAAGGGTTATTCACAACTGGTAGTTTGTGAGATGTAATTTATTGGAGGAGATTTGATTGCCAGAAGTATGAAAGCATCCACACTGGATCATCTGGCCTCAAACTTTAGATAAACTCTGCTGCTCTCCTGGACTATCAGGTCCCAGAGAATCTGATCTTTAAAGGAACCTTATGAATCAATTTCTGTTGCGCTAGAAACAACACAGATCCCCCAGTTTTCATCTATAATATGCAGTATTGTTACTTCTGCTTTATAATACAGTGGAAAGTAAAATTATAGGTATTGTTAAATGCTTAATGTTTTTCTGTTATATCCTCTGTGGTTTTACAGTGGTTTATGATTTGAAAGTCAAAGTGAGTTCACATATTCAAATTAATTAGTCTCATGCCATGAAGCAGAAAGTTGAGTGATCCGAATAGAGAGGGCACTATGAAGGTCATTAACAGAGGTTGTTGACTTCTCAGAGTATTTATTCTACATAAGTCTCTTCTACTATGTGGAGTGTATTTTAAGTAGATATACTGGTTTACAGAATACATTTTCATCACACTCTGCTCACATTCAGGAATATCATAAGTTCAGAGTTGAATTTATTGTTAGGTTAGAGGTCATGTTCCAACTGAGTACCAAGGTAGTGATGCTCTGGGCTCTGGATTGTTGGGTTTGTTGCATACCTCAGGGGCAGTGGTAGATGAGGATGGAGTATTGATAGAATCATGATTGATAGGGAGACAATTTGTAGAGAAATTTTTTTCTGTGTCACTTTATATGAGATGTCCCAGGAGGAACGGTCAGTATTCTGGGAGGTCATAGTAGTGGTCATTATAAGCAAAAAAGTGTATATATATACCTGTGTCCTATTTCAAACAGTTTCCGTGATAGAATTATTTCACTGTACAGTTCCAAAATTGTTGATAAGATGTTATATACTGTTGCTAATACCTGCATTTAATGTTCAAATGACAAAAATGGGTACATTTTACATCGAAAATTCCACCGTAAATATCATTGTACTTTGCAACTCATGTGAGGACATGGCGTGTTGCTTGTCTGAGTGCATCTTGACATTCCTTTATGCAGGCAGTAACGTCCATTATGCGATCAAGTAGTTCGTCTTGTGTATACACTTTTCTCCTGTACACTTTACTCTTTATCCAACACCATAAACAGAAATCTGATGGGATTAGGTCTGGAGATCTTGATGGCCAGTTAATGGTACTGTCACAACAGATCCACCAGTTAAGGAAAGTGTCACGAGATGTTGCATCACAAGTTGGGTATAATGAGAAGGGGCTCCGTCATGCTGAAAGTACATAGCAGGAATCCATGTAGTGAAAGGAACATCCTCTAGTAATTCTGGTAATCCTTTTGCAGAAATCATGTCCTGTAATACAGTCATCTGAAATAATGGGACCAATTAATATGCCTTCGATCATACCACACCACACATTGATAGAGAAATGACATTGAAAATTTTTTCCACTGTGCTATGTGGGTTGTCATAAGACAACTGATGAGAATTGTGTGTGATGTGATTTCATTACAGGTGAAAGTAGCTTCATCAGTGAATAGTATTAATGGAAGCAATTGGCAAGTATTATGTAAGCAATGACAAAATTCTAGATGCATGGCACTGACCCCTGGGCATGGATTTTGCGCACACTGTGATTGAAATGGGAACAAGCCATCATCTTGCAATGTTCGTCATACGTGTGCTTGTGAAACACTGAGACATATAGAAAGTCTTTGCATTCTAGTAGTAATTTCAAGACTGTGTACATAACACCATGGAAAACACATTATAATCTGAAATTCTACATATATGAAACTGTTGATGATATTCTTCAACAGCAATACCATTGCGGAAGCCACAGATGTGCAGCATGTCAGCATATTCAGCAGTTCTAAAGGTGTGCAGCATTTTACACAACACTCCTACGTTGTCACTATCAACAGTCACAACAGCCAACTTCACACCAATTCACATGCTTCAGACAGTGCGCAGTAATGCAGGAGGGGAGAACATTATTGGGCGCCAAATCTAAACTACTGTACAGTGAAATAGCTCGATCTCAGAAACCCTTCAGATCTGGACACATGTACATATACACCTTTTTGCTTAGAGTGACCGATACTATGACCTACCGGAATACTGATCTTTCATCCTGAAACACCACATAGCCTGCCCTGGTGCTGAATAAGGGACTCCACTGTCAACAACCAGATATCAAACACAGCTCGAAAAACCAATTTCACTGAATCTAATGGAAAATATATGAATGTTTTATTCACCACTGTGCAGTGATATGCTTGTAATTTTCCTTTATTTATGATATTTGTATCTGACGTGTCCAGCATTTGGAAAAAATTAAACAAGTAATTTTGTGACCATAGATCATAAAGAACTTTGGAGTGTACTTAAAAGTTGTTCCTGTATCTAAGCACCAGTTTTACAGGTGAAGTAGACAGCTGTGCACATTCTTAATTAGATAGAAGTGAGTGGTCAACTTCATGTTCTGTTTGCATTAGCCCTAAGGGAAGAACCCCTGGATTGGGATCAAGGCTATAAGTGAACCAGTGGTTTTATAGCGGATACCTGTCTACCAAAGTGCATGGCATCACATACCAGAAGATCATAATCTTAACATTCATAGCCTTGAGAATTTTAGATCTCATCTTATGTAACATTCTTGCAATTTGAAAATTTGTGCCCATATGTTGCAATTGTAATTCATGGACCGTTGTTCTGTGTGAAGTGCAGTATTTGTACACTACCAAAACAGATAGAAGACTGAACAAAGTGTAATTTATATGACAGAAGTTTACTTGTGGTAATCGTGGGGGGCTGTTGTGATAGCTGTATCTCTAAGAAGCAGCACCGGGTATGATAAATTGTTTATGAATACAATGAAGCTTTATGTTTATCGGTGACTTAACCTTCAGGGGAAATTTATTTTTAACATATGGCATTCCAACAGCCTAGTTTGTTTTGCTTGAATTTTAAAACTTTCCAACATTAGACTGTAAATGTAGTAGTTTAAAATGTAATGAGGTATTAACAAGGTATTCTTTGCTAGTGTAATTTGTGTGGACATATGTTACCTGAACATTTAATTTATTTTATTTTATATTAATTTATTTTTCTTAAATTTTAAAGCTGTCATTTAACAAGAAAAGTTATGTTCCAAATGTCAGATGGAGTTCAGCAGAGGACTTAGCTGTTCCTACATTTCTTTTGCTTTTGTTTTAAAACTGTCTTGCATTGGATTGAAAATGTGATTTACTGAGTATCAGACTGCTTTACAATTCTCAAATTTATTTTTCTTAAATTTTGAAGCAGACTGTCATTGAAGTGGAGAAACTTTATTTAAGTTTTCAGCAGAAGAGGACCTGTAATGATAACATGTACAAATTTTGTAGTATGAACCATGATACATTTTGGACTTCTTATTCATGATGTACATATGCCTTGTTTACAGGTGTTGGAGCGTTCATGGGAGGTGGTTGATGGAGTAAATGTTTCATTACGCTTATGGGACACATTTGGTGATCATGAGAAGGACAGACGATTTGCATATGGCAGGTTTGTAAGAGAGACAAACTAATACATTAAAAATTCGTAACATGCTCTATGTCAGGCATTTAAATGGCAGTTTACACTTGTGGTCAAGTCAGCCATGGTTAAACTGACAAATATTATTTATCAATAGGAGAGTTTAACATGTCTATTAAACATACATTGTGACTCAATAGAATTGTCCTTGACTCAGTTACCTTGAAAATGAAATTGATTGTTGTTCAGTGGACCGTTTTTGGTCACTGATTTTTTTAATTAATTTAATTTTTTAAATTTAAAATTAATTTCAGTAAATCCTTTTTGGCCAAGCCTAGGATGTAGAACAAGTCACAATTAAATCAAAACATACGCAAGAACAGTTCATAAAATAGAACTCAGTCACATACAGAACAGTCATAAAACGAATACATAGTGACAATCAAACGACAAAAAAGTGGAAATTGTTCAAGTTACAGTCGATTGAATTACAACCCCTAAAAGCCTACACAACACAACCATAACATATTGTCACGTGTTGGGTGTATATCACGTGACAAATAACTTCACACCGTCTTGGATGTAGCGAATTTATTGAACACTTGCTCTCACATTTACACAATTCACAATTACACAATTACCGCCATCGGCAGTATCAGAAATACTTCTGCTCTCAGCAACTGCTGCTCTGTTTCAACTGAACTCGGCAACTTCACAATCCATACTCTGTCACTACTAATCACACACTCTCTTCACATACTGCTCAGCCAGCTTTTTATACCATTCCCTGTTGCCTCGTGTTACCAGCGTTGTCCCCTGTTATGTGACAGTGGGAAGTGCTGTTACATCACTGCGGGGGAGGTGGGTGGAGTGTTGAGTTGCCTGCTACCATAGCAGCGAAAGCGCTCTGATGTTGTTACGTCACCGTTGGTGGGGGAGGAGGTGTCCTGAATAGTGCAATGTGTCACAATATACATTTCACAAAATTTCAATATTTATTTATAGTAAAAGTTCAATTAACAAATACAAATATAAATATAATATATAAATATAAAATGATAATTACATATATCTTATGAGATAAAACAGCTGAAGATGACATTATAGATATTTTCGGTCCTAGTACGGTTACTTATTAATACAGGCAATCAGCTGAGCCCCTCAAATCCAGTAAAATGTACACCCTTCAGGTAGGATGACGGAAGAGACAAAGTTAAAACAACATAACAAGTTATACATTAAAAACCATACAAAAGGTATCAAGATTACCATCTCTGTCATCCTTGTATTGACAATATTAATTTATAGATAATACACCTTAGAATCTGTACACATTGCCTAAACATTTGGATGTGTAGTGCAGGTAGTGTTATTTTCTTCAAGATACCACCTGTGCAGTTTGTGGATGTAGTCTACATGAAGTTAAGGTGTAATCAGAATTGTAGTTATTTTAAAGAAAATCACATTTTTGGTTTCGAGCCCATCAGAAGGGCCCCTATTTTTATATTCGAAAAACCACTTATTCATTTCATGTAATTCCTTCAAAATCTTCACATTGATTAGTTTCATGAATGCAGTTCTCACATATAGGCCCTGTACTGTGCATATGAGCAATTGAAAAACTGATGCATGACATCATTTCCTCTAAGCTTCAGCATGTAATAGAATGGGATATGAGTGTTTGTGTTTTTATATATATTATTTTTATATTTATATTTTTATAAATATTCATGGAATTACTTTTTTAGAAGAAGATAAGTTTATTGGAAGAAAATAAATGTAATAAGGCATAAATTATATTAAAGAATATGAATTAGTTTTGATGTGTACATTTCATCTTTTTCTTCAAGATTAGGAACATTATGGTGATAATTCTATCCAAGCATAGTCGGTATAGCAACTAGCTATGGGCTGGATGACAGGGTTTGGAGTTTGAATCATGGTAGGGTCAAGCGTTTTCTCTTCTTCACAGCATCCAGACTGGCTCTGGAGTCCGTCCACCCAATCTCCTATGCAATGGGCAGTGGGGTCTCTTTCATTGGGAGTAAAGCAGCCGGAGCATGAAGCTGACCACTCATCTCCAGCTAGTGCCGAGGTCAAGAAATGTAGATCTATACATCCACTCCTCAGTACACCTTCATGGTGTAGTGCTTAATTGGTTAAGCACAGGGACAACTTTAACTTTACCTGAGTCATTACAAATGTTGTATACAGTGAAGTAATAAATATAGCAATGGGATAAATAACTTAGGGAGGTGAATAAAATAAATGTTTTAATATGATGTAATAATGTTATAATAATGGAAAAACTACCACATTATCACTATTCCTGGATAGTCTCTTTCCAAAAACAGAAGATCGCATTAAGTGGAGAAACTGTTTTGGAAGAGGCTGTGGACCTGTCATCTGACAGATTACTGATGAATGAATGAATTGTTATAATATTCTATCAAGACCAACACTGTCATAGTGGCCGTGCCATAGCTCAAGCGGTTAGTCGCTGGCTTCCCACCGCAGCGGCCCAGGTTCAATCCCGGGTCTGGTCAAGTGGGATTTGTGGTGGACAAAGTGGCGCTGGGGTGGGTTTTCTGAGTATTTTGGTTTTCCCTGCCAATATTCATTCCACCAAATTCTCCATCATCATAATCACCCGGGGCAGGTACAGTAGGCCAATCAGTGGCCGCTGTGCCAAGTGGACCCAGTTGGACTCCACCCCCCACTAAGCGAACACTGTCATAACAATTGTTATGAAAATAATTATTGATATTAATATATGACTAATTTTCATACATAGGCCTGGAAAATGTATATGTGCAATAGGATGCAATCTGTGATTCACTATGTGCATGCACATTCATGCATGTATGTGATTATGAAAGTTTATAGGAGACTTCCCATTGAATATACATTTTTCTCTTTCTACTAATATAAATAAAATTAAGTATTTAAGAATATTTAGTTTGCCATAAATAGATTGCTGCAAGATTAATTGGTGGTTTGGTAATGGTGAAGATTTAATATTCTTCAAATACTACAATCTGCTGTTGAATGATATATGTGGGAGAAAGAAACTAAATATCCCATCCGCTTCCTATGAAGTTGCAAGCCATTGGTGGCGGTTTGAATGAATTGTAAGCACTGATACATTTCTAATACTTTCCAGGTCGGATGTGGTACTTCTCTGCTTCTCCATTACAAATCCTGTATCTTTGCGAAACTGCAAGGTAATGTGGTACCCAGAGATACGGCGTTTCTGTCCCCAGACACCGGTTCTTCTTGTTGGCTGTAAGAATGATCTACGTTATATGTACCGGGATGAGACCTACCTCAGCTTCTTCCGTGATCGCAGCCCTTTTGTGAGGTGAGAATTTTGAAGCCTCATGATATGTCTTTGTTTAATGCCTACACTTTCATTACAAAAAGAGGGAACTGTGGAATGATAGCATAGATGTGGAGGATATTACACAATAAGGAAGTCTGTGGTTAATTTGACTGCCTCTGTGGTCTAGTGGTCAGAGTTCTTGCCTACAAATCCAGGGGTCCTGCGTTCGATTTCCAGCAATACCAGATTTTCTGAGAAGTAGTGGGTCTGGAACAGGGCCCGCTCAGTCTCGCGAGGATAATTGAGGAGCTGTTTCAAGGAAATAGTGGCTCTGGTCTAGAAAACGAGATTAACGGCCGTGAGGATTCATTGTGCTGACCACGTGGTATCGTCTATCTGCAAAAGTTGGCACTGACCACCACTGATAAGTGGTGGTCACTTGGTTCATATAGTTTATTTGCGGACTACAGGCCATGGAGATTTTTGTTTGTGGTTTATTTAACTTAATCAGATAGTTAGATGAACGAGGCTGCAATATATCGGATTTACATTATGTCCTCAGAGAGAAGGACATATTTATGGTGTGCGAGAGTGAAGTGCATAAGTGAACACTTGGGCATGTTAAAGCGAAGTAAAGAAAAATGGAGAAAATAATATGATTATGACCTTCACTGTTAGTACCCATAATTAATAATATTCATTTAAGTTGTTTTAGAAAGACTATTAGATATTTGTTTATTGATATCTATTTACACCATGGACAAACGGGTTTTCGCTTCACACTGTCCAAATTCGGTTGCCTCATTTTCCTGCAGGATAGTGTGTCTACATTTCAGTAACATTGTATATGAAGCTCTGTATGGCAAATTTCCTGGTTAGTGGTTCAGAAGTGGAGGGTTGAGTCAATGATCACAAAAAAAATGATGACTCATCTCCAATGGACTTGTTCTGTTATGTTAGGGATGTAAATTGGGGGGTTGTGGGGAGCAGGCTTGCAGACGTTGATGAATGATATCTTCAGTCACTGCATAGTCATCTGCTTCTTGTCTGGACTGAGCTGAATGTTATTTCATTGTGTATGGAGCTGTTAATGATATGAGTTGTACTAAAAACTTAAACTTGGATATGTTTATTGCTGTACTATGCAAATAAAAACTTTTATGTGAATGGTGTGCATGAATATTCATTTGACATTCTGTATTGTTAGTGTGGTCAAATAACTACATTCCATCAGTGGAATGAGCCCAGAGTGTCTAGATATCTCAGTGAATGATTTTCAGGGGTGCTTTGATTCAGAGAGCAGTGGTGACAGGCTGATATAAGTTCCCAGGAGTTTCTTTGAAAGTAACCGCAAAATGTAATTTGTATGTTAGATTAAAATGATTTCCTTTTTATTCCTAGAATTCCATTGTCAGATCCTGGAATTTACATGTATAAAAAAATATAGTGTGTCTGGTTGAAAGGTATCCAAAATATAAAAAATATATCTTGGAAACTAATTGTCATAAACTTATTCAGTTTATGTCATCGGAAAGGAAAACTCAGAAAGTTTTCTTCATGCCCTGCTTACACGCATGGGCTGCCACATTTCTGCCACCATGTTTGGAATCACCTGGACAGAGAGATGGCTGGGAGATGGATCGGCAGAGGTGGACCAATCACTTGGCTTCCTGGATCGCCAGATTTAACCGTACTGGATTTTTTCTTGTGGGGTTATGTAACCTGTCTACCAGGTTAAGATCAATGCCCTTGAACACCTGAAAGCTTGCATAAGGGGCGCTGTGGCAACAGTAACACCAAACATGCTTCAGCAACGTGGAATGAGGCGAAATATCGTCTGGATATCTGTCATGCCACCAAGGGAGCCAACACTGAAATTTATTGAGAAAGCTATATACTCAGAAGAAGACTTTGATAGTTTCCCTTTGTAATGGCGTAACCCATAAATGTGTATAATGAATGCTTTCTGAGGTATAATTATTTTATTTTGGATACCTTCATCTGGACACCCTGTATTATTAAACAAGCCAAGAATCGTCATCAATTATACTGTCTTGTTTTGAGTAGGCCGACACGGAAAAGTGATCTGGTGATGCCGGATCAAGCTCGTGCTATTGCCAAGGAGCTGGGTGTGTATTACTACGAGACTAGTGTGCTCACATATTATGGTGTAAACGAGGTGTTTGAGAATGCCATACGAGCAGCACTCATTGCAAGACGGCAGCAGAGGTTCTGGATGACTAATCTGAAGAAGGTTCAGCGACCTCTGCTTCAGGTGAGTTGCATTTAGTCACTTAACCCTGTGGTGCATCCAGCCTTAACCCATTTTTTGACTGATATTGTTCATAAGGCGTCATTCTTCACTCAGTACAATCATTCAAGACCATTATGTGAGACATGTTGAGTTCACTCACAAACTTTGCTAGCATTTCATCTTGTCATCAGCATATGGTAGCCTTATGAGCCATGACCAAAGATATATTTTTATTTGCTGATATTTACTGAAGAAGATCCAAAAGTAAGGAAACATTGCAACAACAGGGATTTGCTACTATTTAAATATATAGACTGTGTTTCTAGACTTGGTCTGTAGGAAGGGAAGAAGTAAAGAAAAATATGGCAAGGAATAAAAAGGCAGTGATTGCAGCCTCATTGTGGTAGGGGTGAAGGGAGGATGACATACTGTAACTAAGGCCTTGTACTAACCCTTATGCAAGGCCGCGCCATAGCTCAAGCAGTTAGTCGCTGGCTTCCCACCGTGATGGCCCAGGTTCGATCCCGAGTCTGATCAAGTGGGATTTGTGGTGGACAAAGTGGCGCTGGAGGAGGTTTTCTCCAAGTACTTCAGTTTCCCTTGCCAATCTTCATTCCACCAATTGCTCCACAATCACCCTCACCTATCATCTGGGGCTGGTACAATAGGCCAGAAGTGGCCGCAGTACAAGGAACTTAGCCCCACCCCACTAACACTAAAAAAAACCCTTATGCAATCTGCAATCCTGATCTCAGAGGACTTGACTAAATCCACTGTGCATTCTTTTGGGAATGGCTGGGTCTAAAATCATGGACAATACCTACAAGCTGTCGTACAAAAAACTATTCATGGGTTAACAGTAGATTGTATATTCACATGGGCTGCTATATCCCGTGGCTGCATCCCCACGAAATAAACCTTTTAATTTTTTCTTTCCTGTGCAGAGGCACATTGTACATTTCTTCTTAATATTGTTTAAAATAGTCATTCATTGCTCTCTGCTTTATGCAGGTTTCTTGCTTGGCATACTCTTTGACTCTGAAGACAGAGGCACTATGTTCTCCTGAAAGGTGACTGACATTCACCAGATTACTTGGTGTTATATCCAAGAGATAGAACTCTTCATGGCTACCACTGTGAGAACCTCAGCTCCAACATTGTTTGTAGTTTATTTAATTATGCTGTCAGTAACCCTGGCCTTATAGCATCAAATGAGCCAGTGATTGTGAGTAATGAATTTGAAAGGATGTGGAATGAAGTGGTTATATCCTAACCTAAGGTACTATACTGTCTCAGTCAGGATATTCAGTGTCTCAGCTGAGATTCAGACATCAGCACCTCAGTACAAATCAAGCTTTACCACTTCATCCAGCTTCGGTTCCAGTCTTTGTATCTCTTCAACTAGATTTGAACCTGGAATCTTCCTCTGATGTCAGAATTTCTTTGATGGTTTAATCTGGTATCTGATAATGTTGATTTCAACAAATATGTTCTGTTTAATATTGATTGTAGGCCCCTTTCCGGCCACCGCAGCCTCCAAACCCAGAGCTTCATGTAGCTGCCAGTACATATGCAGAGAATATGCAAGCATTATGGCTGCAGCAGGCTTATACAGATGTAATACTGGTGGCTGGGAGTGTTGGTTTCTCAGCACACAGGTTTATCCTGGCAGCAGCATCACCAGCATTTCAGCGCCTGCTCATGATGGACCTGAGCAGTGAACTTGGGGCTCGGAGTTCTAGCGAGTCCAGCATGGTAAGCAGTCTCAGTATTTTTGTGGTATAATTTAAACATGAAATTCCACAAAGAACTGAAGTCGGTATGTTGAAGTAGCAAGAATCATGAATGAATTATTTTGCAATTTAATATTCCATTTCTGTGTACTAGTATACATCCCATTAGTGGTACATTTAGTTTGCCAAATATAATGTCAGTCCTCGCCATAGATATTTTGAACATACCGAAATAATAAGTTAAGAAAAGTACACATAATTTAACCAGTTCTAAGTAATTCACTCACTTTTGTTTAATTATGTCAAAAAGTGCAAACCTTGGAGAAAAAATATGCTGAGTATAAAATGCATGTTTGATTTTTCTACAACTTTTTCAGAAGTTTTTTTTTTTACTCCTTTAAATATTTAGTAAATTATACACAAGTTGCACTTGAGGTATATGCAGAAATGAATGTAGCTATTCATATAATGTGTCTAGTACTGTTGTCTGCTTTTAACCAGAATTGAAATGTTTAAAAGAATTTTGGTAAAACTCTCCAGTATTCAGTTGCTTGAAATCTGGTTCAGCAGTTCCCAAGTTGTTTCATGCAGGGATGCTGTCATGCTGAAAAAGAGTTCCAAGTTTTTTACAGCGGTATGGTCTTCTGGGTTATGATGTCACTTAGTCTTTAGGTGGTTAAAATTCTCTCTCCCTGAAGGAACAAAAGAAGGGTCTTTCTAAGGACAAGGCTTGACTTAATTTTCCTCTACCCCTGGCCCCTTTAAGACTGGGGCCACACAAGCGCACAATATGCGTCCATTTTAAAAAACGTACTTTATGACGGACGTTGCTGAGGACAGCACGCAGTTGCAGAATGTGGTACATAGTTTTTGTCTGCAGTGGAGCCAGAAGAAAGTGTAGCATTTGCCTCTCTTGTTTATTTTTACAACGGATGCATTTTGTGCCCTCGTGTGGCCCCAGCCTAAGGGGCCTTCTTTATCTGCTCTTTACAGAGCCTCCCACTGCTTCTATCTATGGCCATTAAAGGGGCTGTTTTGTAATTACCCTTTTCAGCTCCTCTTACTCTTTCGCTTGGTAAACGTCTGCCAGACTACATGATGTCATAATATGGAAGATCACATTATGTATATAAAAATGTTTTAAGAAAAATTTCTGCAAATGTTTATGATTTATTTCCAAACAGAATTTCACATTTTTTGTCCATTGATTCGTAATTTGCTGCCAGCTAACCAAAAAGCTGTATTTGTTTTGCATTCTACAAAAATATGATGTCAGTGAAGTTGCATGTGTTTTAAAGATCTAATACCATATCATATTTCTGGACTTTGTTTGTTTATTTATTGATTTATGGTTTATTCAACAACACTATCAATAGCTCAGATTATATAATGTCACGTAATAGGATAATTATTGAATAATGAACTCGGAAAGGAACTATNCTACGTTCCTCCGAAACGTCGGCCAAAACGAAGAATACACGGTGCCTAAACCCAGAAGACAAATTTCTTTATTACAAATTAGTTTGACATACTGTCCCAACATTTTCCTAGAGGGGCTGAGAGAAAGCACAGAAGAACATCATTCGCTATAGTTGGTGTTCTGACCAAGGTTCAAACTAGGCACCTCTGATACAAGTTAAAGATTACCACTTGAGGCAAGTTCTTGGTCATGGCATGCCATAAGTGGTGTTCCCACTTTGTAAGTTTGCACAACCATCATGTTTTTATTGATAGTAGGAAGTGAACATTTTTTAAGGTTTGGCGGCCTCTAGTGACACAAGAATCAAATTCTGTAGCTGCAATAATGCTGAAAGCTTAATTAATGAAAAAACAAAAAAAGGTTTTCATAAAGTTTAGGCTGCATTAAAACCTTACATGTTTTAGTCTTTCAATTAAGTACTCTGCTACAAATTGACTTCGAGGCATACATTAAACAGTATATGTATGTACATATATATATAATTTGAGTTTAGAGGAGTGTATAATAACGGTGAACATTATTGAAGGCTCAATACTGATTCTTCATTCTTTCATTATGCTTCTAAACTTTTCTCACTAGTCTTGAGTATCACTTAGCAGTGAATACTTGCATGTGATTTTGGTATTTGTTTATTATAAGGGAAGAGTTTGTCCAAGTTTATATTTTTTAATTTACGATCCCTTCTTCCAAATGTCCCTGTTAAGTCTATATTGTGTACTTTTACAATCATATTTTGTATGAATTACAGTTATGATTTATTTGATGCATAGTTAATTGCTATATAAAAATGATTTTTAAGTCAGAAAACAAAAATGGAGTAATTTGTTGTAGATGGAAGGTAAGGACAGAGAATTTAAATCACCATTTGACTGACTGAATGATATGAACATTGTTAAACAGTTGATTGTTATTCAGTGGTCAGATTTTCACCTTATGGCATACAGTTACCATCATAGGGATATTTAACCTTTTCTGGCAGGTTTAATAGACACATAAGTTGTACCAAAGAATCTGTTAAGCCCAAGGATAATATTTGTAATAAGTTAATTACAGTATTTCTGGTGAATAGATGTTGCCTTACTGTAACCCCTGGTCTCCTCTTGATGACTGCTTATTTAAAATTTTTGCATTTACCCTCTGTGTGTGAATGCTATTCTCTCTGTCCGCAACGTGAGGATGCAATTGTGTGGTGATGGGGTGTCCATCTAAATAGGGATGAGGTGACACTTATCGCATATCAATTAGGCCATGCTTTGAAAAAATAATGTTAACTATTGGAAGTCATTATAAGTTGTTTATCTTTTCAGGTAAGCACTTTTGGTGAAGCAACTATGGGAGACTTCAATGATGACACAGAGTACCTAATTAGACAGTCTGATAATTATTTCAAACCTTCCAGGTAATATTTTTGTCGAATTGTAACTATTTGAGATCTTTTCTGTTTGTAACGTAATATATGTTGTAACAGATTTGCACAAACCATTGCTAGGTAACAAACTGGTAAACACATCACAGCAACGAGTGCACAATAGTAGGGTGTCAATTGCTAGGCAATGCATGGGTGGACACACCTGACAAGAATGCGTGATATCTGTTCCTGAGAAGTTTATGTGTTTTCTGAGGGTGGTCCATGCTGAGCCAATATAAGAAGCAGTTCAGTAATTCAGTGAGCCAGTTCTTGATAGGAGACAGCCAGAGGAAGTTCCTAGCTGAAGTCAACCTGTAAAGACTTAGTGATTAGAATACTTTATTCATGTGTAATATTTGGAGTGATTTGAAGTGCTAGTTCCTGTGTTTTAATTGCATTACCAGGAGAGGACTAGTATGTGTGTGTGTGCATGTGTTATAAAGCGTAGAAACAGTGATAGTGCTGCACTAATAGTAATTAAGAAAGAACTTGTAAACAAGGTGCTAATAAATCCCATCATCTGAACAAGAACCTGTCATTTTTATCACTCGTCCCACCCTACACTTGGCCAGACACAGTGTTTGGATTCATAATTGGATCTATTGGATTCTTAAAACTTGTAACTGCAAGTAATTATAGTGCTACCACTAATTCACACACACACTACAATTCACTACCATGCTTGCTAAGTCTCCTCAGTCTAATTTGTCTTCACAGTTTGTTGCCTGGTAACAGTTGCCAATGTTGTAGATTTCTTAGCTTCTGCACTTCCAGGCTCTGGCCCCCACTGGCTGCTGCCTATCTCACAGTTAACTCTTCATGGCCGTAACCCATGGCCAGTGTCTCCCAGCTGTGTATGGCCTCCATTGGCTACCTCTGGCTAGCACTCCTGCCTCATCTGCAGCTTGTTAATTGCTACCAACTCAACCGTGTTAATATCAGTATGAGTTCTTCAGGTACAGCCTCAGGGCAGACCCAGCAGAGAGCACTGCTTCTCCCAATTCCTCTGTTGTTGCCTGCCTAACATTTTCTATGCTGACATAGTGTTTACTGTGCCATAACCTAGTAATGAACATTTCTTCTGATTAAACTATCCCAGCTTTCAGCAGACGTGCCACAATAGTAAACGAGACTTCACTGTTGGTACGTAACTAAGTCCATGGTTTGCACAATAGACCACCGTAGGCCGCGGTGCAAGGACCAGGAAGGCCCACCCCTTTTACATTCATTATACAAGTCCATGATTCACAGCCTTTCTCAGAAGTTACTAGTTCTGAAGGAGACTGAAAGTGTGTTCACAAATGTTTACCTTTGGAACCTGTTATAAGCCATTTCAGCCCAATCACCCTGACATCATATTTCCTTTATGTCCATTTTAACCACCCATCTATGTGTTGGTGTGTCAAGTGATTTATTCTTTTGGAGTTCTATGATAAAAATTTTCTATGACTAATCTCTGCCAAATGTACTGCATGTCTTGCCCACCTGATATGTGATTTATTGTCCTGATAACATCTTTTGAAAAGTAGAAATTACAAAGTTTCCCCTTACTTATATTTATTTGCTGTCCAGTTACATTTTCTTTCCTAGGCCCAAATATTCTAAACAACACACTTAATTTTGTTTCATTATAAAACAGCAGTAAAAACTATAGTTGTGATATTTTAATATTCAGACTTTGAATGTGAGACAAGATGATTGCCACTGAGTAAGTTGATTGAAGCAGTGACACTTTTGATTTGTGTTTTTGGAGTATCCAGTTTGAATCTTGGCTGGGACGCTGACTGTCCTGACCGAAATTTCGTGGTTTTATTCAGTTTCTACAGGCAGATGCTGCAGTAGTACCTCAAATTAGGTCATGATCTCTTTCTTCGATATCCTATCCAATTTTTTATTCACTTATCAAAAAAGCAATTGATGAATGCGAGGCGAAGTTCCTGCCGCAGTGTGCTAGCATCGCCATTCTTCCTTGCATGGCAACTTGGTGCTGGTGAGTGAGCAGGATGCCACAAGCTCTTGCAGCAGCAGGCGAGCCGGCGAAGCTCCTGCCATGGCTGGCTGGCTTGGTGAGTGCTGGTGATTGCTGGCAGAGTTGGCTGCAGTCCTGCTACTAGTAGACTCACTGTTGCAATGTTCTGCTAATACCAGGGTAGTTGTGACTGATGCTAGCATGCAGAAGGTCCACATTATTGTACTTTTGTTGCTAAGCAGCATGCATACCAATGGGTATTGGAGTTGGCATGGTGAATGTTGATTGGGTAGCGCTCACTTCACTGTGGGAGGCTCCCCCAGGTTATTTTCTCCTTAACCCCCCCCCCCACACACACACAAACGATTGACTTTCCTTGCACTGGTTATAGCAGCATAATGCAAGAAAATTGTTGTGTCTTTCACTACCATATTCATGACAGAACATTATATTCATATTGGTTCAAATCTACACAGTCCTATTACACATATACAAAGAAAAATTGGTGAAAAAAGCAGTTCTAGCTGCACATCACCATTTTTATGAATGTGTTCTGGAGTCTGCTGTTGTGTTTAGCTTTCCAGTGTGTGCTGTAAGAGAGATGCAAAATATTTGTTTTAAAATCATGTCTTACAAATAACTAAGCTATGACCATGCAAGGGTGAATATGTAAATTAATGGTTGCATATTTTATGACCTGCTTCTGTTGAATTTTCCTCCACAAAATAAATGTATCATAAAAACTGTGCAGTGATTAGGTAAGTCAGAATATTACTTTTAGTATTTCATGAGCCAGGATAGCACAGTCAGTACAGTGAAGGGCTATTGGCTGGATGGCCATGGTTCCATTCCTGGTAGGAACAAGCAATTTTCTTTTCTCTACAGCTTCCAGACCAGTTCTTTGGCTCGCTGAGCCTCCTATGTAATGGATATTGGGGGCTTTTTGCCCAAGGGGAAGGGGGAAGTGGGTGGAGCATGAAGCTCTCCACTGACCTCCATCTGATTTCTAAGGTGAAGAATGGTGGAACAGTACCTCCACTCTTCCATATGTATTCATGGTGACATGCTTAATTAAGTACAAAAACAGCTTTAGCTTTTTTTTTTGATGCATGTAATGTAGAAACCTGAGACATTTGGAAAAAAATATGAAATGTTTTCCTTATTCCCATTGTTTACTGATGCAGGGTGTGGGAGCAACTTAAAAGGAGGTCAAGTTACCAGGTGTTGTCAACTGACTCTAAACAGCGGTTTGGTGTGTCTCGAGATTTGAATCATCCAGCTTTCCAAGCCATTCGTGTTGAACAGGTGATAATTACTTGCTTTGCTATTGTGAAAAATTGCTATATAGGAGATAGATTGAGCACCATCTACTGTAGCTCGGTTCATTGCTTCAGTTCAGTACACATTCTGTAACATCTTTAATCCCTCTTCACTGCTTTCTCAGAACTTCACAAAAAATTATATCAGATATCCCTGCCTTAAAACATATGAAATATCATTCTGTTCCACCATTACAAAAGAGGTTTCTTACAAAATCTTGTACAAACACATGCATGCCATGAAAAATGACAACTTTTGACTAGTAGCTAAACATATTTCAGGAAACAACATAGCATGTGCACCAACTCAATCAAGGTCACTAAAGATGAATAGTTTCACCAGTATTGTTCTTCTCAAACTCCCCTTACACAGTTCTAATTTTTTTTATTGCTAGTGGGGTGGGACTAAGTCCCTTGTACTATGGCCACTTCTGGCCTATTGTACCAGCCCCAGATGATAGGTGAGGGTGATTATGAATCAATTGGTGGAATGAAGATTGGCAGGGGAAACCGAAGAACTTGGAGAAAACCTGCCTCAGTGCCACTTTATCCACCACAAATCCTACTTGACCAGACCCGGGATCGAACACGGGCCGCCGCGGTGGGAAGCCAGCGACTAACTGCTTGAGCTATGGCGCGGCCCATACACAATACTAGCTTTCACTTGTTTACACAAAGGAAACCTATGTAAACCTTAGGTTAGCTGATCAAACTTGGGACCTTATAAATACAAAGAGGAATGCTGCTCACTTTACCATGAAATTCAGCAATTTTTATCTTATAAATAATGAAAGTTATTTGTGTTTTCAGTGTGACAGTGTTGAATGTACGACGCAACGAGGTCGGTCCAATAGCTCCATGCAGACAGTCGTTACTCTCTCAAAGCTGGTCACCCCACAGGCCATGCAGCAGTGTCTGCAGTTCCTGTACACAGGAACGATTGACAGTCGATTCTGTGAGCTGCAGGTTAGTTGTTGCCAACTGCACTTAGTTATAATGCAGACGTGACAGTCCGCTGAGCATAGACACAAGGCAGGAAGATGACACAAGTTCCAATTCATTTTCAGTTTTTGCAGAAGACTTGTGATAGTGGTTAATTAATTACACCATAGTTATGTCAGACAGTGTCCAATGGTTAAGGTATACTTAATGCTATATTTCTGGAGGTGGGTTTACTTCTGACTGCAACTTGGTTTGTAGATTCTTAAATGTTATTTCAAGTAGATGGACCAAATAGCATCTTATGAAATGAAAAATTGCTGAATAGATGAGATTTCTTAGAGAGGCAGTTGTGGTCTGTTTTAAATTGAATCCATCATCGTTTTAAGGAGATATTCAAACATTCACCTTAAGGTACTGAAGACTTAGGATAGTCAAGAGCTTGGCTGAGATGTGAAGAGTGTACTTTCTGAAGTGTTTTCAGTAACATCCTCTTCAGTTTCTCATTGCTGTATATTGAGAGATATGCCACTGTTTCCAGCTCAGTAGCAGCAGTTGGGATAATTTCTAAAACCCTTTAGAAACTAAACTTTTATGCAAGTCACTGGGTTACATTATGTTTCCATGAATTTAAAAAATTTAGAAACAAAAAGGAGTGTCTCAGTATAACAATAAAAAATCACATGAAGACATTAGTAAAATTCCAGAATTAATTATACCTTGGGTAATAAGTTGTGTGCAGTATAATTGCAGTGAAGCAAATTTTAATTATCACGTTAATGTAATTGTATGAAACTTGCTTCAAGTGACCACTGTGATGCTAGAATAAGTGGTGTTACATATTTGGGATGTCTCCCTGTTGAATCCTGACCGATTGAAATGTAATATATATCGTTCAATGATGACTGATTGATTGATTCTGAGGCTATTTAATGATACTGATTCAACTGCAGCAGTTCTATACTGTGACAAATTGGGCCATTATTAGGAAACGAAGAGGTAAACACTTTCCCAAGCATTCATGAATAGGTGCCCATTGTTATGCAGCGGTTCAAGTACTATGGTTTACTGCATGTAGTGTAACTGTTGAAAGCCAAAATCCATGGCAATGAATTATTAAAAGCACAGCAACCAAGGGACATGATAAGATTAACTGTTGGGAATGGTGTTGTATATTCAGTCAGCTGAAGTGTTATGGAAAGAGACAGAAGTCAGGAGTCAGAAGTGAATACTTTATTTTATGTGATGTAGTTACAGTAACCTTTAGAGTGTTATCGTTGTTCATAGCTGTGACATGTTATAATTACAGTAAAATTGAGCGTGTTAAAATAATTGTAGTTCTGCCTGGTGAATATTCAGTAAATCGATTCGCCCATCCAAACCTGCATCTAAAGTCACTAATACACATGACAGTATCATCAAATGATGTGGATATATATAAGTATGGTCTTGAAAGGAGCCTTCATGTCTGTTGGAACATACTGTCCTTGCAAATGCCTAGGGAGACTGGGGTAATCGTTGAAACCGTCACAATAGCCACTATCACAGCCAAGAAAACTGAAATTCAACCAGCTTCACGTCTTGATAAGGTTCCATGGTCTCCAGCTGTAGTTCACACTTTCACACCTGGGCAGCTTGGAGCTTGCCTGCACCTGACAGCCACTTTGCATTGGTGCATACACAGCAATATGTATTCTTTAAACTGATGTCACATGCAATCTGTATGACAGTTTTTGATAAAATTTCATCTTAACTGTTAGTGTTCAAGAGAGTGATATCTTGTGAAACACCCTGCTTTGTGTAAAGAAACCTGCTCATAAGTACTACAGCTTGGGAGATACCAGCCACAAATTCTTTAGTCATAAAGGAAGGAAATGCACTTTAGTGAGCATAATGAATGAGGGTCCAAGTTTGTTTAGAATTCTGTCTATATATTTGTTCTAATTGTACATCAGCTGTTGCAAGAAGTGTCCTTCAAAGGTCAAACACATTTCTTATGGCATGATGTATTCTGTGAGAGTAATAACAGAAGTTTTTCTGTGCTTTTTTTTAATAAGTTAGACCTTGATTACTAACTCCTGCCAGTATTATGGTTTATTTTGTTTAATTACTTTTCTAGGTTTCCCTTGGGATAAAACCATACGTTTTCACATATGGGCAATGTGTCAGACATTACATTCTATTGATTAATTATGTATTAAACACAAGCCACAGAGCCATATCCAAATTTTATGTAATGTAGCTCACTTAATACAGCAACTGGGCTGCAGGCTGGATATAAAGGAATCACAGTTTCATTCCTAGCAGCGGCAAGATATTTCTATCTTTTCTGCAGCTTCCAGACTGTCTCAGAAGCCCACCCAACCTCCTGTTCAGTGGTTACTGGCTAGTATTTCTCCAGGGGTAAAGTGACCAAGGCTTGAAGCTGATCACTCAAAACCATTTAATGCCACGGTTAACAATGTCGTCTGTTTCCATAGCATGGTGCATAAGTAAGCACAAGGAAAACTTTGCCTATATCTTATTGTCCTAATACATTGTTTTGTTGGAAATATTTGCCAACCCTTTTTTCAAGAGTGCTTGTTAGTGAGGTATTTTTTATCACTGCTTTCATTAACATCAAACCAAGTTTAATGTTACTCTCTACTTATTCTTCTGTGTATTCTCTTCCTGTATGACTATGTACATGGCATCTGGTATTTCTGAAATAACAGTATGGATGAAAGGCTGTTGTAGTATTCGTAATGAATTACTCTGTACTTTTACACTTATAACTACTTTATGCTTAACTTAATGACCATAATTAAGAATTTTAAACTTCATACAGTGAAATCCCCACTTAATTTTTCCCAGTATAAGGTCTTTCCTCATGTAACATTAGTTTCAGTGATCCCAAGTTAATAATTTCATTGCAAAATTACCTCCATTTTAAGATTTGCCTCAGTTTTATTTTTCAAATCTACCAATCCACACAGAAACCTTAAGTGGGGATTTTACAGTAATTATACTAAATTCCTTGGCTAAGTATGAGACATAATTTGGATATGGAAGAATTTCACCATTCTCAATCAGTATGTATGTCCAGATTTTTTATAAACAAGTCCTCGAATGCTTCTGTGGAATAGAAAGTTTTATGAATTGCAACAGAGTGGGTTGTAATGCCTTGTAGTTCAGTAGAAATCCACTTGCATTTCGGAGGAACATACTGCCTCTGTGTTCAGAGTTGAAGAGGCTCTGCTTGCCACTTGCGTCTTGCTCGTTTCTTGCCTGGCTTACTCTCATCCCTGAAGATGGAGGTTGTACAAAATAATGGGGGACATCTGCCAGACTACACAGCTGTACATCCAAGAAGATAATACTCTTCAGGGTCACCGCTCTGAGCACCTCAAGTTCTGCAACAGACTATATCAATTTGACCTGATATTTGATTTTATCATGCTGGTTGCTGCATTATTGTACAAGTGTCATTTGTAGTTGTTGGGTTCTCTCTAATTGGATCACATTTATGCCATCCGGCCATTCAAGGACATGAAGTATTAGAAAATTCTGGACTGTAAATTAAAGCAACACCTACCTCAATAAGACTTTGCTTTGTGAATTTGTGCTGTATGTATGTAGCATGCTGCATATATAGTACATGTAACATAATCATTTACATCATTTTTTTAGAGATGTCGACAGAATAATAGGCAATATTATTTCAGCGGTTCTCTGATATTTAACATTAGGCAGATTGTACTAACGTTTGTTTCACTGGATTTGTAGCCATCTGTAGTGTAGTCTTTCACATATTGGCATTTTCAGTACTTTAAAGATAAACTAATGTACTTCTGAATGCAACAAAGTGCTGGGCCAGAGTTGAAATCCAGCTAAAGAAAACAAAGATGATAACATGCTGTGTGGTCAGATAGGTTATATACCTCGGACTTGACGGGAGGTGACATATAAGTATGTTGTATGATGTCAGAAATCACACCATTCACTCATGTACAGAAGGTTCACTATGTGTTTTAACATGAATATATCAACTTCAGGCAGAGGCTTGTCCAGTTGAAAAGGTGTCAATCTATAGTGTATAGTCTCTTGTTCAATATTATTTAATCCTGTGTTGCTAGCCTTTGTGCTTTGTGCTTAGCTTTTAGGCTAACTCTGTATATTACCCTAAGCAAACTGGTAATCCAAGCAAAGTTGGATCTGAAGTGTGCCATTGACAAAACGCCTGTGCACATGTTATGGTCTCTGTCACCCTGTAATATGAAAGGCAATAACTGGATGAGATAGTATTCTTTTACCTTCTGTAGTGTGTTCTCTCAGCTCAACAGAAGATCAAAGAAGGCATTTCGTGACTACAGGAGAGAGAACTGGCATCAGTGATGCCAGACTGTTTGTGATGCAATTTCTTATTTTCTACAGAAAGTCATTCCCACACCAAACAATAGGAACACCCAGGTCAACTGTACAGGAAAATGGAAAAATACACTCATTTAAATTCCCTCCATTAAGTGTGATAAAACCCTGACAGAATAGTACAGCATCTATGAAAGAACTAAAGGAGAGACATAAGATTTTTACGCCCTCTACACGATTTCCTCTGTAGCGTGAAAGTTGATACACATGGTGTCACACACTCAAGGTGTACCAGAGATAATGTAAAATGTGATTTTTTCCTTTTCCTCTTTTGTGTGTATGTGAAAGTAGTGCAGCACCCCACAGAATCCCAGCATTTGTAGTGAGGATAGAATTTTAAAGCCAGATGTGAGGAGAGGGAAAAGGCCACTGTCCAGTCATATCTGTCAGGCATGCTCTGTAGCCTCTATTGGATCGATGGAATTTTACAATAAATGAAATGAAAGTAATCTCTAGATGGGTTTCTAAGGAAGGCCTGCACCTTCCCCATCTCTGTAGCCATCAACCTTTTCCACTCCATCTGTACCCTTACCAGTTGATACAAATCCAGTTATCTAAGCCTGTCTCCCTATCCTTCATCTACAAATTAAGGTCTTTGTCATCCACCACAAAAATCTCAC